AGTTCTTGGAGTTACTTATCTTCATAGCTCTTTAGTGTACGTTTAAGTTTTCGAGGTGAATTATTTTTTCTTTTTTAAAAAAAGTTTTTATTTTAGGGGCGCCTGGGTGGCTCAGTCAGTTAAGCCTCTGCCTCCGGCTTAGGTCATGATCCCAGGGTCCTGGGATCGAGCCCCGCTTCAGGTTCCCTGCTCAGCGCAGAGCCTGCTTCTCCTTCTCCCTCTGCCTGCTGTTCCCCCTGCTTGTGCTCTCTCTGTCTCTCTGTCAAATAAATAAATAAAATCTTAAAAAAAATTTTTTAATTTAATTTCCGGTTAGTTAACATATATCGTAATATTAATTTCGGGGGTACAATACGGTGATTCAACACTTCCATACAAAACCCAGTGCTCATCACGAGCCCATTCCTTAATCCCCATCACCTGTCTCCTGCATCCCCCCGCACCTCCTCTCTGGTGACCATCAGTGTGTTCTCTAGAGTTGGAGTCTGTTTCTTGGTTTGCCTCTCTCTCTTTCCTCGCCTCCTTTGCTCATCTGTTTTGTTTCTTCGGTTCCACAAATGAGTGAGATCACACGGTATTTGTCTTTCTCTGACTTATTTTGCTCAGTGTTATACTGTCTACATCCATCCACATGGTTGCAAAAGGCAAGATTGCATTCTTTTCGACGACTGAATGAAGTTAATTTTGAAATCCACGCGATGCCCATTTTAGCTCTTGAAAGGAATTCAGTTTGATGATGCTTTGTGCACGGACCACAACAGCCCAACAGGGCCGCCGACACATGGGGAACTGGGATTGAAGTTATCCGATTTCTACTTGGCCCGTGAAGCTGCTATGCGAGCCACAGCCAATATAATTGTATTATAAGAAATGAAAATGGAATCATAACAAACTCAAACTAAGCTTGGAAACGTGCCCTGCTTCCCTCCCTCCCAATGGTGATATGGGTAGAGGTCAAGGACCTCGCAGGCCCCTGACCTCGGAGCAGAGGTTGTTAGCTTTGACCACGCATTAGAATCACAGGGGAACCCCCAGACTGATGAAATCAGAATGCTGGGGACCGGGCCTGTCTGTTCATAGCTTCTCAACCTTGCAGCTTTCTCAAGGTGAGCCCAAGAGCCACGGCCTTAGAACAGTGGCCCACAGGGCCTTCCGGTCATTTGCTTAAAGAGCACAGTGCTTTTGTAGGGAGTGAGAAGGTTCCAGGAAGACCCAGATCTCCCTCATTAGCCCCTTGGTTGGATTTCAGAAAGCAAAGTCAAGGCTCTGAGTGTGCCTCATCTGAAAAGCCCAGGATGTGGCTTGTGGAAAGCCCACACTTCAGCAACATCAGGGTATGTGCGCAGGGGAGGATGGCGTTACTTACGGTTTGTCTTTGCAAGTCCGCTGGCGATTATTTGTGAGGGCATCTTAGGGTCAGTTCCAGAGTCCACCGAGGGGCTCGTCATTCCAAAGGAATGTGTTGACTTCAGCCGCATTATTAAACAGAGCTGAGGGATTTGTTGTTTTTGAAACTCTTATCAACCACCTCCGGCATTTGGATCCTGAACGTTCCAGGTGTGGCTATGAGTTCTCTGTGGACCGACCAAACCAGACCATTGCCAAACAGCTGCTTGCTTCTAGAATTACCAAAGTGCCAACTCCTCGGGGATCTCTAGGCTCAGCTGCAGCTCTGCCACCTACCATTTGAGTAGCCTCTTCAGGCCTCAGGTTCCCCATCTGTAAAATGGGGTCTTTTTTTTTTTAAAGATTTTATTTATTTATTTGACAGAGATCATAAGGAAGCAGAGAGGCAGGCACAGAGAGTAGGGGGAGCAGGCTCCCCACTGAGCAGAGATCCCGATTCTGCACTCAATCCCAGGACCCCGGGACCATGACCCGAGCCAAAGGCAGAGGCTTAACCCACTGAGCCACCCAGGCACCCCTGTAAAATGGGGTCTTAAAGTAGCACCTGCCATACTGACAATCATGCTATTTGAATTCCCCGAAATACAGTAGGGAGCACTTGAGTGCTTTGCCAGGAAGCAAACCCTGGGACCAGTGTAAGTCATGCGTTTTTGTATTTAATCTTCGTAAAAGCCAGGAAATTGGGATCCATCTCTTCATTGACATGCGGATTCAACATGGTAGTGGTTTCTCTCCCAAAGCCGTTAGCAAATCCATCAGATTTGGGAAGGATAAAATATCTATTGATTAATTGTAAATTTCACCTAAGCTGACAAACCCTGTCAACCATTTCTTTACTAATTTACTTTCATAATGTCTCCGTGGGCAACAGATTCAACAGCAAGTGAATCAGAACCCATAAAAAATTATAAATAGGTCCCACTGGGCAAAAATTCAAGTCTGGTTGAACACCACATAATGCCCAAAAGGCTTAGTAATTCAACTGACCATGTTTTAGAACCAGAAGGTTCTCTTGACTCTTTAGTGTTATCCTGGGTTATCCGTGGGACCCATCCTGAGAAAGGGGGTACAGCTTAGGAGATGGTCTGAGACGAAGGAAGCCTTTAAAGAGGGAGAAGGAAGGAGGCTCATTGCAGAAAGTTTGCAGCCTAGGAAGGGGATGTAGAAAGACAAAAACCTGTTTCATTTCAGGAAGGCAGGTTTGTCCCCCATCCCCTCGCCCCCCGCCCCCCCCCCCCCCCATGATTTTTGCCTGAGATTGTGAAATTGTGTAGCAAAACATGCGGGATTGAGGTTAGCATCGCCCAGTGGGGGCACTTCCTTTGCACCCAGCACCGTCTGTTTCTGTCCTGCCGGTGCCCCTCACGCCCTCGGGAGGGGTTCCGGGGGTTGCCCCTCACGGCTTCCTCAGCGAAGGCAGACTTTTCTGAACACATCTTCAGAATTCCCTGGTCTTCTGTCATTGTGGTTTTGGTGTCCATTGGTGTCCAAGCGGAGAAGGCAGATGTGAGGTAGGACTAGGGTCAGTTGTTCTCGTTGTGCTGTTTGGGTCCTTCCGAACCCAAAGGTGACACCTGGTCTGTTGTCAGCGATGGACCCAACCAAAGGACAGAGCATGCATGGAAAATAGGAAAACAGTTGCGAAATCTCTTCCTCTGTAGCTAGAAATGGTGCTATTTGGCGGGGAGGGAAGTTAGCGGGTGTGTGTGTGTGTGTGTGTGTGTGTGTGTGTGTGTGTGTGTGTTTCATATGTTTTCTTTAAGGAAATGGGTCCTGACTTTTTCTGGGTGTTCCAAGGCAACACCCAGTGAGAGATCCAGACCACGCAGAGCCAGTCATCCTCAGGGAACGTTCTAGGCAGGGAGCTCACCAGCCTGTCTGAACAACGGCTTCCTCGGGCGGCTGGGCTTTGTCCAGGCACTGGGTTCCACCAGCCGCTCTCAGTCCCCGCTGCCCATTCTCAGGCTCCACAAACTTGGTGGCTCAAGACAACAGAACTGTATCCTCTCACCTTCTTGGCGCCTCTGAGGGAAACGTTCCAGGTCCTTCTCTCGGCTCCTGGTGGGGGCCAGCAGCCCTGGGCATTCTTTGCAAACTTCCCTCTTCTTCTAAGGACATCAGGCGCTGGACTGGGGGGCACCCTCACTCGGCATGACCTCGCTTTGACTGGATTCCGTGGCTAGGGACCCTACTTCCGAATCAGGTCAAACTCACCGGTACAGAGGTTAGAGGTTCAGCTCATCTTTCGGGGGGTTACAACTGAACCTGCAACATTCTCCTTTTCTGACCCTCGCCCTCCACCTTCGCTGCTCCCGTTGCAATAGTTCTCTCCCTACCTGCGGCTGTCTCCCCACCTTGTGCCCCTGCGCCTGATCTGAACCCCGGAGTGACACCGTGGACAACCAGGGCCGGCTTCTCGTTAGGGAGCTCTTCTGTTCTTAGAAGCCACAGGGCCTAGGGCCTGTGACACTTTAAGGAAAGCTTTCATTTTCTTTAAAATCAGGAAAATCATATAATTCAGGCCGGACTGTGTTTCTCTTTATGCCAATGTGGTCGTAAAAGAGAATTCTGACTATTTTTTTTTTTAATCTTAATGGACGAAGGAACGCACAAAGGCCGAAGTGTTTTGGCCCCACCTTCTATTTTCTGATTTACCAGAGAGGCTGAGGAAAATTCAAGAATTGCTAATATGTCCCCAGTGAAGGAGACTGAAGTATTTTTTTAAATGTCTTTATTTATTTTAGAGCAAGAGCAAGCGAGAGAGCACAGGGGGAGAAGCAGAGGAAGAGGGACAAGGAGACTCTATGCTGAGTGTAGAGCCTGACACGGGGCTCGATCTCAGAACCCTGAGATCGTGACCTGGGCTGAAATGAAGTCGGATGCTTAACCAAGGTCCCCTAGGAGACAGGAGTATTGATCTACAATCCCTTACCTGAAACCCATGGGCCAGTATGGCGTGAGAGTTTAGAATTCATATTTTAGCAAGATGATATGTTACAAAACACTTCCAACAGGTACAAGTCACCCACGTGGCTATTTCTGCCATGAAACGAGAAATCTCACGCTAACTAGCTAAATACAGATTATAGTAGCCTTATGTCAGTTCAGGTCCGGTTTGGGTGGCCAGTAAGTCCTAAAAAACAAAGTTCTCTGGTGCTCGGATTTTTTAGGATTTCAAACTTGCAGAGAGGAGACCGAGAATCTGTGCAGGACAGGACCTGCTTTAAGAGACTAAGTATTAAACCACTGTCCTGGTTGCCGGAGGCCTCATTCTATCCATCTCTGCTTCTGAATTTTTTTTTTTCTGTTTCTGTTGATTTCTGTCATGCTAGGTGAATTGCTCAGGGGACAGGTACTCTCTATTAGGCAAGGCAGGGAGGGTGGGGGTGGGGAACGGGGTCCATATAAGTGATGAGAAGCTTCATTTTACAGGACTTCCCAACAGATGAGTCTCTCTGCCCAAAAGGAATGGCCGTGAGTCGCTTTCGGTCAGAGTGTGCCGGAGTGATCGCGGATATTTTCCCCGGTGCGAGGCTGAGCCCAGGGTGAGGAGAGTCGAGGCACTCATTTGGGGCAAAATTTAAGGAAGGGAGGATGCCCCAAATTTGCCCCGTAATCAAGATGAACAATATTTTAATGTTCTGTTAGAAAAAACAATCAAACTGGCCTGCAGGCTAGTTGCCTGTTTTCGGTGAATAAAGTTTTATTGGCACCGGAGCCACGATCAAAGGGAGGCAAGTGATGTGGGGCCTTGCAAGAGCGGGGTTGGATTCTGTGTTTATGTAACATGTTGACTATTGAGTGCATCAGAGATTTTAAGCTGTTATACCTCATCCTTGACTCGCACTTTAGGGGGTTCCAGACCTGCCAGGGGGAGGGGGACAGGTGGCAGAAGTAAGTGTCCTTTCTTCTCTCTGTCTCAGGTTCGGTTTTATTTGCAGAGTTGCACTTTATGTCTTACTTGCACAATCGCCCCTTTCCCTCCTTTATCTGATTCCCAGAGTGGCCATTTCTCTACTTTATTTGCATAGTTGCCATTTCTCTTCTGCCAGACTCCATGGTTTTGACTTGTTGGTGACACTTGTGAACATAATTCTCCTTGGTGGCCCTTGAGGTGCTTACGGAGCCTGGACTCCTAGTAGCCAGAGGCCTGGGGGAGGCCAAGAGGAGGGGCTCGGCCAGGGAGGCGCAGCTCCTGCGGGGCTGTCGGGGCTCCCCCCTCTCTCCTTGGCTCCAGTCAGACCAGTGAGCTAGTCTCAGCCCGGCACTTGGGAAGATGACGGGGCCTTTACAGTCCATTCACCACCATGAGGTCCTGAGGAAGATGGAGAGGCTTGGCGGCTCCAGGTTTTCTCCTTGAGTCCTTGGCTAGCTGCCAGCTCACCGCTTCCCACCCTGCCCGGCCATGTATTTCTCTTCAAACCGAGGTCATGTGGAACTCCATCAAGTCACCTCCTTATGTCAGGACCCTTGGCAGAGTGGAGTTAGGAACCACAAGCTCCTCACTCACAAATGGGCAGAATATGCTGATCCCTTCCATGGCCCGACATTTAAGTTGCTTCAGACTCTCCCAGACTCTGGGAGGCCATTTTCACCCTGAGAAAAAACACAAAACAAAACAAAAAAACAGTGAAATTCAGCAAGTTCTCCTCCTGGTCTCTAGCGCCCCCTGGAAGCCTTTCCGCTCACTTGTTCCTTGTTGTAAGAGAGAATCTTGCCTCTGAGATGAGACGCAGAGGCCTTAACTTGAGGCCACACAGGACAGCTCTGTCCTCTGGACCTGCCCAAGTAACCACCTAAAAATTCTTCTCCTACCAACAGAGCTGTTCATCACGCTAAGGGAAGAGTCTCCGATCTGGCCTTACCTGGCCTTCTGTTCCTCCTGGGCCTTTTTAAACATTCATTTGGAATGTTTTATTAATGGATAATTAAAAAACAAGAGCAGGAAATTAATAAGCACTACCTCAGCCAGGTGATCACGGGCCACATACAGTGAGTCACCTTACTACTCTGTGCCCTTGGTGTGATGGGGCCGCAAAGGCTCTTGACTTTTGTGGTCTTCCTGCCCAAGACCTATTACCCCAGTTTCATCATGAGAGAAACAACAGTCAAATCCCAGTTGAGGGACAGTCTACATAACCATCCTCTTCCCTGTCTTTATTTTTCTCCATAGTGATTTCCACCATCTAACCTACTGTCCTGTAGGGTAAGCTCCAAATGGGCTGGCATTTTAATCAATTTGGTTCCTTGCTGTATTCCCAGCTTGGAAGTAATTCCTGAAGTAAAGTATATGCTTAATAAATAGTTTTGAACAAATGAGTAAATGGCTATAGAGCTTTTGAATTGCGGCACAGTATTCCCCTGTATGGCCACCACTCAAAGGTATTCGAACGATTTCTGATCTTTTGCTATTGCTAACAGCCTTACGTTGAACATCCTTAGGTGTAGTCATTTGTGTATGTGAGGGTCTATCTTTAGGATCTATTTCTAGGAATTGCCGAGTCTATGTCTCCAATTTTTTTTTAAGATTTTATTTATTTATTTGAGAGAGAGAGCACGCATGCACACAAGCAGGTGGAGGGGCAGAGGGAGAGGGAAAAACAGCCTCCCGCCAAGCAGGGAGCATGATGGGGGACTCCATCCCAGAACCCTGGATCATGACCTGAGCTGAAGGCAGAGGCCTAACTGACTGAGCCACCCAGGTCTCCAATTCTGCCCCTATGTCTCCAATTCTGATAAATGTTAAGAATTTCTTACTGTCTTAAAGGGGACATTAATTTAGATTTCTGCCAGCAAAATATGACAGCACCTGTTTCTCCATGTCCTCACCTACACAGTAGAATTGGTAAAAATAATGGTATCTCTGTGTAATTTTTTGAGTGAAGTTAGTATCTTTTCCTATGTTTAAAAGCTATATGTATTTCCTTTTCCTTTGAGCTGCCTTTTAATATGTCTTTGTCCATTTTTCTGTTGGGTTATCTTCCCACTTATCCGTAAAATGTCTTTACGTGTCAAATCTCTTACTCCCTTATCTGTGATAAGGACTACAAATAGTTTTTCCTAATTTATTGTTTCACTTTTGGCATCGTTTGCCATGTTTTTTTGTAAGGCATAATTTTAACCCACCGAACCATCCAGATGCCTTGTAAGGCATAATTTTAATTTGCATGTGGTTGCACTGACCAGTCTCTGCTTTTTTTGGGCCTCTGATCTATTTTTTCATTGTTCTGGAGTAACTAGGCAATGCAATTAGACAATAAAAATAAATTGGACTACATAAATGGTATTAGGGAGATAATCACTATTTGCAGGTGGTTTAATTGCTTACCCAAGAATATCACATGGAGAAACAACTATTCTAGATAACCAGAGAATTTAGAATAGTGATTTGGTATAAAATTAATATATGGGAATCAGTAGTCTTAATTTATAGCAGCAAAGACCTGTTAGAAGGTAAAATACAAGTAATCCATCCACAAAAGGAGAGCAATGAGCAGGACTTGGTCTATCAGATACTAACATCCCCCCAAATTGTAATTATTAAAAAATGTGGTGGCAGCATGTGAATGATGAACAGATTGATGAAGCAGAGAGCCTAAAGTTGGGAAGCAAAAAATTATTCAACAAGTGATGTTTGCACATCATCAAAACAGAAAAGCAACCCACTGAATGGGAGAAGATATTTGCAGTGGTATGTCTGATAAAGGGTTGATAGTCAAAATACATAAAGAACTTATACAACTCAACACCAAAAAAATAGCCCAATTAAGAGGACCTGAATAGACATTTTTCCAAAGAAGACATCCAGATGGCCAACAGTCACATGAAAAGGTGCTCCACATCACTCACCAGCAGGGACATGCAAATCACAGCCACCATGAGAGCGCACCTCACACCTGTCACAATGGCTAAATAAAACACACATCAAAAACAAACAAAAGCCACGTTGATGGGATGTGCAGAAAAGAGAACACTCATGCCCTCTTGGTGGGGCTGTAAATTGGTGCTGGTGCAACCACTGTGAAAAACAATCTAGAGTTTCCTCAAAAAATAAAAACTAGAGGGACGCCTGGGTGGCTCAGTTGGTTAAGCAGCTGCCTTCGGCTCAGGTCATGATCCCAGCGTCCTGGGATCGAGTCCCGCATCGGGCTCCTTGCTCATCAGGGAGCCTGCTTCTCCCTCTGCCTCTGCCTGCCATTCTGTCTGCCTGTGCTTGCTCTCTTTCCCTCTCTCTCTCTGACAAATAATTAAATAAAATCTTTAAAAAAAATAAAAACTAGAAATACTACATGATGTGGTAATTTCACTACTGGTTATTAACCCAAAGAAAATGAAAACACGGATTCAAACACACACACACACACACACACTTCTATGTTCATTACAGCATTATTTACAATAGCTGAGATATGGAAGCAACCTAAATGTCCATCGACAGATGAATAGATAAAGAAGATGGCATGTATACCCACAGCTATAAAGAAGAATGGTATCTTGCCATTTGTGACATGGATGGACCAAGAGGGTATTATGCTAAATGAAACAAGTCAAAGAGAAATACTGTATGGTTTCATTTATATGTGAGATCTAAAAGACAAATGAACAAATAAACAGACCCATAAACACGGAGAACACACTAGTAGTTCCCAGAGGAGAGGGTGGGGGGGGTAAGCAAAATGGGCAAAGGGGAGTGGGAGGTACAAGTTTCCAGTTACAGAATGAACAAATCACAGGGATGAAAGGTACAGCATAATGAATGTAGTCAGAGGTACTGTGAGGTACCATGGCAGATGAGAGCTACACTTGCAGGAACACAGCATAATGTATGGACTTGTCGAATCACTATGTCGTATGGCTAAAACTAATGTAACATTGTGTGTCAACCGTATTTCAGTAAAAATAAATATGTGACGTTGGGGCAAGCAGATCTCCATTTAGAAAAAAATAATGTGGGTCTGCACCTCACGTTTTATGGCAAAACAATCCCAGTGGGATAAGATATTTCAGTGTAGGAAAATGAAATCATAAATTTACCAGAAAAAAAGATGTGGAAACTGTTGTTGATAGAACTGAAGTCCTTTATGGCATCCACTACCCTGCATGATCTGATTCATACCTCAGGCTGTCCTTGCCACGACCCCCAAGGCCATCCCTCTGTGAGCACTCTCCTCTGAGCCAAAGGGACATATATGTAACAGCCTACTGGACATCTCCACTGCAAGATCACAAACTCAAATTTAACACATCAGATTAATATTACAAGAAGCTTCAAACAATACCCATTTATCAGCTCAAATTTCTATAGGTCAGAGTCCGGGTGGGCTTGCTGGGGTTCTCTGCTCTTGATTGCATAAGGCTAAAATTGATACATTGGCCAAGCCGAACTCTTCACTCCAGGCTCTGAGTAAGGATCCATTCCCAAGTTCATTCAGGTTGCCAAGCAATTTGAGTTTTTTGTGGTTGTAGGATGGGGGACGGGGTGTTCCCTTGCCAGCTGTCAGCAGAGCACCACTCTCCGCTTCTGAAGGTGGCCTGCCACCTTCCTCGCCAGTGGCCCCCTCCACCTTTAAGTCAGCAAGAGCGAGTCGAATTATTCTCCTGCTTCCAACCTCTCTGATTCTCCTTTCTGCTGCCAGCCAGAGAAAGCTCTCTGCTTTTAAAGGCTCATACAACAGAATGAGGCCCATTTAGATAATCTCCCTTTTGTCACATGACCTAGCACGATGACAGAGTAGTACGAGGGAGCAAAGGGCAGAGGGGCCCTCTGGAAATTCTGCCTACCAAACCAGGTAAAGTGGGGCTTGCTTTCTGTGGAAGGAAGACATCAGGCAGCAGCACCTAGATAGTGCTGTACTTGAAAATGACTGAAAGTAACTGAAAATGCCTGGGAGTTCTGTTTCACCTGAGTTTTCATCTCAGCAGCAGCTGGCTCTTCCTCGACTGCTGTGAACTGGCGGTGATCCTAGACCCTCAGCATAATCACTATCCGCATACTAAGGTTATGACAGGGACTGTTAGTTCATTAACCCTCAACTTTAGAAGAACTTAAAAAGGAAGCACTTGCCTGGCTTAGCTCACAAGAAGGACAGGAGTTCGGCTCTAGTGAAAAACACGATTTCGTGAAGGTTGGTCTTGAGACTCGGTGAAATAAGATTTGGAGAGTTCTTCTGACCACAGCCCTCATCCCGCAATCACGTTAATGTGTTTATTGCATCGTGTAACTACCAAAGCTACTATATCCAGCAGAAAGTGAGGCGCTCTACTGAGTTACAGAGGTTGCTTGAAAAGATAAGACGTCATGTCTTCCCTACAGAAGTTTACAACATCAGCCAAAGAATAGCTATTAATGCCAACGTTCCTATGATAAGGGACATAGAAATACTGGTAGCCATTCCGCACGATTTTTTTTTTTTAAGATTTTATTTATTTATTCGACAGACAGGGGTCACAAGAAGGCAGAGGCAGGCAGAGAGAGAGGAGGAAGCAGGCTCCCTGAGGAACAGAGAGCCTGATATGGGGCTCGATCCCAGGACCCTGGGATCACGACCTGAGCCGAAGGCAGAGGCTTTAACCCACTGAGCCACCCAGGCGCCCCATCCGCAAGATTTTTTTGAGTGCCGTCTACAACTGAGGTGCTGTTCTGACACAAAGACTTCAAAGTGAGGTTGTGTAGCATCATGGCTACTGTTGGAATCAGAATGACTGGAATCCAGCTCTACAACGGTATCATCCTTCTGAAAGCCACTGAAGGGTCTTAAGTGGATAAATTGAATATCAAAGATAAAATGCGGATAACATAGAACCTATCTCACTGTGTTGCTCTGGGCATTAATGTGGGTGACAAAATGTTTATGGTTGGCACACTCCCTGATACTTTGTTATCATTATCAACAGAAGGTGTCTGTTGATAGAGGAGGAGAGAATAGATCCGGATACGTACCACTGGAGAGGTAACAAACATCTGTGGGGAAGGCCGATAAGAGATATGGTTGTGCCAAGCAATGGCTATGTCGATAAGGTAGAGGTGACTCTAGCTTGGAGATCTCAGATGATACCATAATGAAAGGTGGACCTGAACTCTCCTTGGGATGGGCCAACTTTCATCGCGAGTTCTGCTAATAGGTCGAAGCTATGAATGTATAGCTTGCCGGGTTCCAGATCTAGCATGAACCATAGCCACAGGCCTGCATCAGACCCATTACGGTGATGAGGCATCTCAATGAAGGCCTCTGCAAAAGCTTCCCAGGCTTCTTTGAGCACCATGAAGCTGAATGCGCTGACAAATTAAAATTGTTCCAAACCTTGCAGTGGGTATTGTGTGTAAATGATGAATTACCAAATTCTACTCCCAAAACCAGTATCGCAGCATACGTTAACTAACTACAATTTAAATACAAATTTGAAAAAGACAAAAAAATTAATAAAAATTAAAATTGTTCTGAACCTAACTTCACACAATTTGTTTAATTGCTAAGAGAATTCATACTTCAAAATACATGTGCAGTGTCATGAAGCGTTGTTATTTTTGTCATGAATTACCTGGTAAACCCTGTTACTCTAACCTTGTGCCTCCACTTTTGATTTTCCTTAGGAAAACATGACCCTCCCATCTTTGTTTCTGACCTGCCTTTTCCTGCTCATCTCTGATTCCTATGAGTTCTTCAGCAAAGCAAATTATTCTAGAAGCTACCCTTGTGATGAGAAAAGACAAAATGGCTCTGTGATTGCAGAATGCAACAGCCGTCGACTGAGAGAAGTTCCCCAAACCGTGGGCAAGTATGTGACAGCACTAGACCTCTCTGATAATTACATTACACACATAACAAATGAATCATTTCAAGGGCTGCAGAATCTTACTAAAATAAATCTAAACCACAATGGCAATCCACAGCACCTGAATGAAAACCCTGATACAAACAAAAAAGGCATGAATATCACAGATGGGGCGTTCCTCAACCTACAAAACTTAAACCAGTTACTGCTTGAAGACAACCAGTTATACCAAGTACCTGGTGGCTTGCCAGGGTCTTTGAAGGAACTTAGTCTCATTAAAAACAACATAATTTGGGTAACTAAAAAAAACACTTCTGGCCTTACCAATCTGGAAAGGCTCTACTTGAGCTGGAACTGCTATTTCGGCAATAATTGTGTTAATAAAACTTTTGACATAGAAGACGGAACGTTTGAAAGTCTTACAAATTTGCAGGTGCTGTCCCTGTCTTTTAATAAGCTTGTCCATGTGCCACCTAAGCTGCCAGACTCCCTAAGAGAACTTTATCTCAGCAATGCCAAGATTAAAATCATCAGTCAGGAAGATTTCAAGGGATTGAGAAAGTTAAGAGTCCTAGATTTAAGTGGGAACTGCCCGAGGTGTTTCAACGCCCCATTTCCCTGTACACCTTGTGAAGGAGGCTCTTCAATTCAGATCCATCCTCTTGCTTTTCAAAACCTGACGGAACTTCGCTACCTAAACCTCTCTAGCACTTCTCTCCGGAAGATTCCCGTAACGTGGTTTGAGAACATGCCCAACCTGAAGGTTCTGCACTTGGAATTCAATTACTTAGTGGATGAAATAGCCTCTGGGGAATTTTTAACGAAACTGCCCTCCTTGGAAATACTTGACTTATCTTTTAACTACAAAATGGCAAAATATCCAAAATATATTAATATTTCCCAAAACTTCTCTAATCTTAAGCTGCTCCAGGCGCTGCACTTAAGAGGTTACGTGTTCCAGGAACTTACAGCAAAAAACTTCCATCCCCTGAAGGGTCTTCCACATCTAAGGACTATCAACTTGGGCATCAACTTTATTAAGCAAATTAATTTTACCCTCTTCCAAGATTTCCCCAATCTGACGATCATTTACTTGTCAGAAAACCGAATATCACCCTTGGTAAATGATATCCAGCAAAATGACGAAAATGGTTACTCCTCTCCAAGTCATGTCCTTAAGCCACGCTCAGCAGAATTTGAGTTTGACCCACATTCAAATTTTTATCATAATACCCATCCTTTAATAAAGCCGCAATGCACAGTTTATGGCAAAGCCTTAGATTTAAGTCTGAACAGTATTTTCTTCATTGGGCGAGAGCAATTTGAAGCTTTTCATGACATTGCCTGCTTAAATCTGTCTTCAAATGGCAATGGTCAAGTGTTAAATGGAACTGAATTTTCAGCTGTGCCGCATATCAAATATTTGGATCTGACCAACAATAGATTAGACTTTGACGATGACAATGCTCTCAGTGATCTACCCGAGTTAGAAGTTCTAGATCTCAGCTACAATGCACACTACTTCCGAATAGCAGGGGTGACGCACCGCCTGGGATTTATTCAAAATTTAACACAACTGAAAGTTTTAAACTTGAGCCACAATGGCATTTATACTTTAACAGAGCAAGACCTGAGAAGCATGTCCCTAGAAGAATTAGTTTTCAGAGGAAACCACCTTGACATTTTGTGGAATGCTGAAGGTGACAAGTACTGGAAAATTTTTACAAGTCTCAGGAACCTGACACGGCTTGATTTGTCCTTGAATAACCTTCATCTCATCCCAAATGAAGCTTTCCTGAACTTGCCCCAGAGTCTCACCCAACTATACATAAATAATAACATGTTAAATTTCTTTAACTGGACATTACTCCAACACTTTCCACATCTCCACTTGCTGGACTTGAGTGGAAACAGGCTATCTTCTTTAACTAATAGCCTCTCCAAATTCACGCCTTCCCTGAGGACGCTGCTACTACGTCGAAACAGGATTTCGCACCTGCCCTCCAACTTTTTTTCCGAAGCCAGCAGTCTGATCCACCTCGATTTGAGTTCCAACCTGCTGAAGATGATCAACAAGTCCACGCTTCAAACGAAGACCAACACCAGTTTAACCATTTTGAAACTAGATAGAAACCCTTTTGACTGTACCTGTGACATTGGAGATTTTCGAAGATGGATGGATGAAAATCTGGATGTCACCATCCCTCGGCTGACGGACGTGATCTGCTCTAGTCCTGGGGATCAGAAAGGGAAGAGCATCATGAGTCTGGAGCTAACAACCTGTATTTCAGATACCATCGCGGCAGTGCTGTGTTTCTTCACGTCCTTAATCACCATTACCGTGATGTTGGCTGCCTTGGGTCACCACTGGTTTTACTGGGATGTTTGGTTTATCTACCACGTTTGTCTAGCTAAGGTAAAAGGCTACAGGTCTCTTTCCACGTCCCAAACTTTCTACGATGCCTATGTTTCTTATGACACCAAAGATGCGTCGGTTACAGACTGGGTGATAAATGAGCTGCGTTTCCACCTAGAGGAGAGCGAAGGGAAAAATGTGCTCCTGTGTTTAGAGGAGAGGGATTGGGACCCTGGATTAGCCATCATCGATAACCTCATGCAGAGCATAAACCAAAGCAAGAAAACTATATTCGTCTTAACCAAAGAATATGCCCAAAACTGGAACTTCAAAACAGCATTCTACTTGGCCTTGCAGCGGCTCATGGAAGAGAACATGGATGTGATCGTATTTATTCTGCTGGAGCCCGTGTTACAGCATTCTCAGTATTTGAGGCTGCGGCAGAGGATCTGCAAGAGCTCCATCCTTCAATGGCCCGACAACCCCAAGGCGGAAGGCTTATTTTGGCAAAGTCTGAAAAACGTAGTCTTAACTGAAAACAATTCCCGGTATAACAATTTGTATGTTGATTCCATTAAACAGTACTAACGGATGTTAAGCCACGGCTCACCAACATAATAAAAATGCAAAGCAATTACCCTTCTTTCTTAGGTTTTTATTGCTGTGTAACAAATTACCCCCAGACTTAGTGGCTTTATGGTAACGCACTCTGTGATCTTACCATCTCTAGTCAGGCATGCAGGCGAGGCTTGGCTGAGTCTTCCACTCAGCGTCTCTTAAAGGCTGTTGGCTATGTGTCATCAGTCAGGGCCACAGGCATCTCCCAGGCTTAGGATCCACTTCCAAGCTCAAACTCATGTGGTTGTTTGCAGGATTCAGTTCCTCTGGCAGTGTCGGTTAAAGGCTGCTCTCCATTTCCAGCCACAGGCACCTCTCCTGCGGGACAGCTTGCTTCATCAAAGCCGGCAAGAGAGAGAGGTTGCTAGCAAGATGGAAGCCACCACCTTTGGTAATCTAATCAGGGAAGTGATAGCCTCTCACCTGGGCCACATGCGGTTTGTTAGAAGTAAATCACAGGTCCTGCCAGCTCCGTGGGAGTGATCATTTCAGTCCAGGTAAATTAGTCTATGACCAAGATGGCGGCAGTTGGCCTGCCATCTTGGTCATAGATTGTGAATACCAGGAGGCGGGGATTATTGTGGGCCAGCTTAAGAGTTGGCTCACTGCACCTTCTTTTCAATATCTAAGAACTGTTGTAATTCTAACTCATGGCTCTGCTGTTAAGTTGCTATTTAGGGTTATCATATGCCCATGGTTACATGGTTACATTATGCTGTGGTTGCATTAGTCTTCCTTTTGCAATTACTTTTCTAAATATTGGGTATAATATTTGACCTCTAAGGTTTAGATGCCATTTAAAGGCTAAGATGGATATTTTCAGGTGTTTTTTATTTCTTAACCACTTTTTAAAAAAGTACGCAACCAAATTAGAAGCATTTGAAGTATCTGTCGATTGCCATTGCTGTAAATCTTGAATGATTCGAAATACTTCATTTCATATGATATGATCATACGATAAATATACAGTAGGAAAATAGATCTATGATGTAAAAGAAATTGCCATCTATACTGGGTTTTTTGTGAATACTTAAAAATAATCTTTGGTAAAAACCAAAGGGCATGGGGCGCCTGGGTGGCTCAGTGGGTTAAGCATCTGCACTCAGCTTAGGTCATGATCCCAGGGTCCTGGGATCCAGCTTGGTGTCAAGCTCCCTGTTCTGCAGGGAGCCTGCTTCTCCCTCTCCCTCTGCCTGCCACTTGCCCTGCTTGTGCTGTGTGTGTGTGTGTGTGTGAAGCAAATAAAATCTAAAAAAAACCCAAAAAACCAAAGGGCAAAAAGTTTTGATGATGTTTATATATTAAAGTAATTATTAATAGAGAAATTAATTCTATCTTTACCCCCCACTCGGAAGACAAAGTCAGAACACCTACCTGTTGGTGCCCTTTATGCAACTGTCCCAAATGAAACAACTTCGGCTTTTGCTGCCACCTCTACTCCCCCCATGGTTCCTCTGCCACAGTTTATGGCATCCTCCCTCCACTACAGGTTTGAATCTTAAAGAGACACCTTAGGAAATTTACCTGAGAATAGCTGGAAATTAGCCAAGCTCAAAAAAACTCGCTTCAGAAGGAAAGGAGGAAAAATCCCTACTGCATCATCCATCAGAATCTTGCAGGGTGAGTTATCATTAATGATGTGTTTTTAAGGAACTGAGCAACATGGGGCCGCCTGGGTGGTTCTGTCAGTTAAGTGTCCAACTCTTGATTTTTGGCTTAGGTCATGATCTCAGGGTCCGGGGATTGAGCCCTGCGTTGGGCTCTGCGTTGAGAGCGGGGTCTGCTTGAGATTCTCGCTCTTCCTCTGCCTCCGCTCGTGCTCTCTCTCTCTCTCAAAAAAAAAAAAAAAAACACCAAAAACCCAAACTGAACAAAATGGTATGTCATAGGGTTATTTAGGAAGGACAAAGTGGAAATCAGCACAAGTTTGCCAAGGACAGTTTTAGCTTTGTCACACTGGACCCTATTTTGTGCCCATGATGTTTATTTTTTTTTATTTTTACTTTTTTAAAGATTTTGTTTATTTATTTGACAGACAGAGATAACAAGTAGGCAGAGAGGCAGGCAGAGAGAGAGAGGGGAAGCAGGCTCCCCACCGAGCAGAGAGCCAGATGTGGGGCTCGATCCCAGGACCCTGGGATCATGACCTGAGCTGAAGGCAGAGGCTTTAACCCACTGAGCCACCAGGCGCCCCACCCATGATGTTTATAGGAAGATATTTGTACTTGAATTTGTTGAGGCATGGAGACAGATATATAAAAGCAGCATCATTCCAGGAAGGTACAGCCTCAAAACAATGGTGTTGGGGGGGTAAGTTACAGCTCATTCCTGTTGAGGTCACATTCATTTGTTGTCTGGTCGAAGCTCATTCATTTGTTTCCTGATTGTTTTAGTAAAAGAAAAAGGTAGAATTTTCAGTAGCTTTAATAATTACGGATTACTAGTAAAGTCTCACACTTTGGTAGTGTTCTGTTGACAGAATCAAAAATTAATGAAGGTCACAGTTTTCCCCTCTAAGGTATTTTCAAATATTACAACTGTATTAGTTTCCTAGGACCACCATAGCAAAGTCCCACAAACTAGGTGGCTTAAAACAATAAAAGTTTATTGTCTCATGGTTCTAGAGGCTAGAAGTCTGAAATCCAGGTATCTGCAGGGCCACGATCCCTCTGAAACCTCGATGGGAGAGTCCCTCCTTGCCTCTTCTAGCTTCTGATGTTTGCTGACAATCTTTGGTGTTCTTTGGTTCGTAGATGCATCGTTCCAGTCTCTGCCTCCAATGTCACATGGCTGTCTTCCTTCCGTTCTCTCTCCTCTTCTTACATGGACACTAGCCATATTGGATTGAGGGTCCATCCTAGGGGTGCCTGGGTGGCTCAGTGGGTTGAGCCTCTGCCTTCGGCTCAGGTCATGATCTCAGGGTCCTGGGATCGAGCCCCGCAGGCTCTCTGCTCAGCGGGGAGCCTGCTTCCCCCTCTCTCTCTGCTTGTGTCTCTGCCTGCTTGTGATCTCTCTCTCTGTGTCAAATAAATAAATAAAAGCTTTAAAAAAAATAAAGGGTCCATCCTACTCTAGTGATGCTTCATCTTACCCAAGACCATCTGCAATAGCCCTATATTCAACAGAGGTCACATTCTGAGACACTAGGGGTTAGGACTTAGACATAAAATTTGAGGGGGTCAGGGGACACAGTTCAATCCATAACAACCATGGCTTTACTTCTTTTGAAGTTACTCAGAATTCCATGAAAGTTGAAAATGCCCTTGTGAATAGGAAAGTCATTTATGATTGTTGAAAGAATAAAGGCAATTTCCCTCTCAGCTATTAATAAAGCTGTTATGGTGATATGGCCAGGTTTCCACTGTCTTTATCCTTGAATTTAGAGCCATAATAATAGCCATTATTTCCAATGAGTACAAAAGAAGGTCACACAGTGGTGTTCTCTTCCCTTCTGCCCTTGAGTGCCTTTAGGAAATGGGGGAATTGATAAAGCCCCGTGTCTTACCCAGCCATCATATTGTCTTGGAGGATACAAGGCAGGGGATAACTGTTTTGGACCCGAAGGGGATATCTCAGGACTACCTGCGTTAATGACCCAAAATGGAAAATGTTCTTTATAAATGTCTCTCCAGTATACAAAGAGAAGAGACTAGATTTCAAATTCACAAGATATTAACAGAAAAACAAACCAAAAAGCCACTTGTAATAGCAGAATTTTGCCATTGGGAAGCTTGTTTGAGCCTTTTTATTTCTTTTCCAGTGAGAAATGCATTTTTAGGAGTAGAAAGAAAAGACCCCTCTGTCTTGTCTTCCCAGTCTTCCTCTCCTTTGACGTTGTATCTGGACTATTTTAGTGATAACTCCCCACTTATCTCAGTAATGATAACACCAGAAGAGCAGAGATGATCAAGAGTCATGCCTGCGTTTGCAAGAAAAGCCCCAAATGCAGTTGCCTGAGTCAGAAACCTGAGGCTCCTTGCTGCCTGTTTCATCTCACTCCGCACCCAACCATCCATCAAGCACTCGTGATTCAACCTCCTAAATTTCTTTCCCACCCATCCTCCATCTCCACCTCTATGGTGGACACCCCTTGTCCTGGCCAGCATTTCCCACTGGCTTCCTGGGACCCACTCGGGCCCCTCCAATCCAGTGCCAGCAGACAGGATGATTCTTGTAAAAGATGTGACTTCTGAATTAAGTCTAAAACCATAACTCCCGAATCAGATGCCCAAGGCCCTCTGTGGCCTCCCGTTTCCTGCCCCTCCAGCCTCTGCTCTAAGCATCTCTATCACTAGCCTTCAGTTCATGCTGAGAACACACCCAGTTCTCTTGCCTCAGCGCCCACACATGCCACTGCCCTGAGTCACCTCTTCCTCTGGGCTTCGCTTAGCTCATTCCTGTTCATCCTACTGGAAGAGGTTCAATGTCATGTAGAGAGGCTTTCCCCTAAATTCCAAATTTCACCTGGGGGGGGTGTCTCCTTATATTATCATCTTAGCATTTATCCCGAATTTGGTTGGGATGGACTGGAATTAACACATGGGTGTTCCATTAGACTGTAGGCTTCAGAGATGAGGGATGTTACCTTTTGCCCATCACTGAGTCTCCAATATAGATTACTATGCCTGATACACAATAAGGGTTCTCAACAAATACTTTTCAAGTGATTGAATGAATGAAGGTTCAGAGAGACTTCTCGAGCTGTACACTAAGACAGATGTGGTATGAGTAGGAGGTCACACTGTCAACTGTCACATTGTGGCCTCTATGCAGGGAGGCAGCACTTCTTCCTCCTTCATTTTCCCCTTTCCCACTTCCAGCAGCAAGCATGGCGGTTGTCTCTTGGATACTACACAGCACCAAAAACCTTGGAGGTCATGATGCTGATTCCATGAGGCTCCGAACCTGGGCACAAGTCATTTGCTTTCTTATCTGAATGTTGTGCTGTGGTTCAGACCAAGTACAGTACAGACAAAGAAGAAGCCGAGGGAAGAGGTCATGAAACAGAAGAAGTTGGTTACAGTTCTATAGAGGTCATGTGATGGTCCGTAAACAAATATGTCATAACAGTGGGTCTGAAATCAGCCTCACGGGAGGTGGTTCCATGAATCAGCATGGGGTAGTTTGCAGGTTCTATGGCCCCATTCAAAGCAAAGTTTCCCCAAATTAGTCCCATACCATGTCAGTAAGCACTCCACCAAAAAATGTTTCTGAGGTCAAATAAGTTTGGGAACCGCTTGGTTATTATAGTATTTGTAATAGACATTGTGATCTCCAAGAGGGAGCGACATGA